AATGCATCATATGTTTACGTACATAGCCTATTCCCAGTTTTGCATTTGTAGCCCCTTCTCTTGCAATCTATGCATATGAAGTTCAAAATCTGTGTAGAATCCACCCATGTTTTTTTTATGTAAATCTGTAGATTCCCATGGAGGTATCATGTGATCTCCACTTTGACCAAGAGAGCATGCTTCAATTAAATAAATGGGATGTTGTGAATGCTTCCAAATTGTGCAGTCGAAGACTCACGGTTACAATTTCAAATTGCCATGGAAGCATTCGTGCACAATTTCTCAATGATCCAGCGTATTTAAAATAGTAGAATTCCTCCAAAGCATGGTTGAGCATCTGGTCTTTTCTTTTTTCGGAAAAGTTGGAAAGGACAACAAAACATGTGATCTCCACTTTGTCCAAGCGAGCATGCCTCAATTGAACAAATTGGATGATGTGAAAGCTTCCAATTTGAGCAGTCCAAAACGCACGGTTTTCTTTTCATAGTTTGTACCCATGCTGGTCCTCGTGGGCTGAAAACCAGCGTGCTCCAGCTTAGCGTTCCAATACACAAAACAGAAACTGTAACAAGCAGTAGGCGTGCAAGATGTCCCCATGCTGCTCCTCGTAGGCTGCAAACCAGCGTGCTCCAGCTTAGCTTTCCAATACGGAAAACAGAACCTGTAACAAGCAGCAGGCATGCAAGATGTCTCAAAGAGCAAATGTGCTTTAAAATAATATAAAGCTGTGTGTGGATGCTTGAACATTTCAATGTGGAATCCCATGCACATGGACTGTTGTCGATCCCCATCCTTTGTTCATTTAAAAAATAAATTGTCACAACATTATATCTTTGTCTTTTGTATTTCTTTTCTTCCAAAGCTATCTTTTTCAGAGTGCTTAGATGGACAAGCAGCATGTGCACCAAAGAATAATATTTCAGCAAGCTTTTCCTTTTATTTATGAGTAATTCCCCATTTTGCTTTTTAAAAGACACATGCGTGAATAAAATATAAGCATGTCGATTTCCCATGATCAACTTGTCATTCCTTTCACATGCCCTCCACCACATTGTAAGTACTCTAGTTATACAACATTTTAGGCTCAGATACCGTTGGTCCCAGTTGAGATTTTTCACAATCTTTCTTCTAGTTTTCTTCATGGGCGCGATTGTGATTGATCCCTTATTTCTCCACGTCCTGACTTCTTCTTTTTTCACTTCCTGTTGCTTTGGTTGATCTGCCTCATGAAATGGTCGATCAAATTCCTCCAAAGTTCCAGCAATTCCTTTTGATGTAATTGCCTGCCTTGAAATGATCTTTGTACATATTCCAAAGCCCACCTTTAATGTACTCCTAGTGGATTGAATGCAAGGCATTAATACCACCACTTGAGATTCTACTATAACATAAGGCTTTAGCATCGATGAGATACCTCCAAAAAAGTAAACAATGTTAGCTGAAAAATTGCTAACCAATCTCTCCTCAAGAATGATTCGAGTCTGATAGCAAATTGTAGTCTGTTTTCCTCCTAATTCCTTGCAACCTTCACTCTTATGTAATGACATTGCATCTTGTCTTCATTAATAATCCTCCTTCCTTTTGAGTCCATATCCCAGAAGCCATGACATTCAATATTTCCTTCATCTAGAGCATAGTTGGCAAGGTGGTCTGCTAATGTATTCCCTTCTCTTAATATGTGTGTGACCTTGAGTATACTTTGTTCCTTCAATCTTAAAATCTCCTCAACATGATCAGTAATACACCAAGGAGGCTTCCATGATTCCTCTATATCTTTAATAGCAAGGAATCTGTCTGCAGCCATATCGGAAAATAATTAAGATTTTTGCATATCTTCAATGCCTCCACAATAGCTACTACTTCTGATTCATTATTGGTTACTTCAAAAATCTCCCTTCCTTCTGCATATATCAAATCACCTACCTCATCCCTTATGCAGAAACCAATTGAACTCCTCCCTGGGTTCCCTCTACATGCTCCATCCGTATTTACTTTGATCCACCCTATTGGAGGAAATTCCCATAACACATTTTCATATTTCAATCGAGGTGTGTATCGCTCCATCATGGTCAGTAAGTCCAGCCACTTGTGAGGCACATGCAGTCCAGGCTTTTTTAGTTGGACTAGAGCTTACAGAGTAGATGACACCTGGTAAATAACTCTGCTCACTGACACTGCTTCTTCATATTTCAAACTGTTTCTTCTCTTCCAAAGTTCCCATACAATGCATGCAGATAAAACTTGTATGACTGGCTTCAATCTGGGAACAACTGGTGCTATCCAACACTTTGTAATTGCTTGTTGTAATGATAACCCTTCTAATGCAATTCCAGGTCTCCTCAGGAAGTAATTCCAAAAACTCCTAGCTGCATTGGATGTGAAGAACAAATGTACTAGTGACTCCTCCTTAGGATCAACATAGCACCAACATTTTGATGGCATGGAGTACCCTATTTTACGCAAGAAATCATCAAGTGGCAGTTTAGCTTTCCACACCTTCCGTAGGAAGAAGGATATCTGAAAAGGTTAGCCTTTGACCCATATCATCCTGTAACCTAATCTTGGGTTGTCTCTTCTTCGCAGGTAATCCCATGCAGACTTCACTAAAAAATGACCTCTTATTTCAAGCATCCAGAATGGTGTATCTAACTCTGCACATTCGTTTGGTGGTCTAATATTCTGCACAATGTGGTTTGCCAAATCTTCAGGTAGAGTCTGAAATATTTTTTCCAAGTTCCACATACCATTTTCAACCAGATAATTGACATTGTGAATATCCTCATCGATACCAAACTCTGCAGGCACTTGGAAATATAAGGCTCCCAGCTCAGTCCAATTGTCGAACAAGAATTGAGCTGATCCCATTCTCGGTTTCCAGTAGATTTGATGCTCAATCAAGTCCCTATATTCTAGCATTTTTCTCCACATGTGGGATCCACGCTTCCAAGGTACAATTACTGGATTTAGTTTCTTGCAGTACTTTTGACTAATAAATGCACTCCATAAACTGGGCTTTGTCCTGAAATTCCACCACAATTTACAGAATAGTGCCTTGGATACATCATGTAGGGACCTGAAGCCTATGCCTCCCTCCTCATAAGGCATACAAAGGTTAGTCCACGATGACCAATGTCTAGAGTTGCCTCCCACATTGCTTCTCCAAAAGAATTTGGCAAAAATGCTATGTAATTTATTGATCAAATAAATTGGTGGATTAACTGCTGACAACATATGAATTGGGATACTTTGCATTACATTTGCGATCAATACAGCTCCGCCTCCTACAGATAGGAGTTTGCCTTTCCACGACTGCAGTTTGTCCATAACCTTAGTGATTAATCCCTGGTAATAGTCACTCTTTCTTCTTGCATAAAAAATAGGGCAGCCAAGATAGGTCATAAGGAAACATTGTCTTCCTATACCTGTAATCCTTTCAACCTTGTTAATTACCTCATTATCCGTTAAATGATGCAGGTATATGGCAGATTTGGCTTTGTTCACCAGTTGACCAGACGATGATTCATAAGCTTACAAAACCTCCATGACAAGTCTCAGTGAAGTTTCATCAAATGAGGAGAAAATGATTGTATCATCAGCGTATGAGAGATGATTTATTTTTGGGCTCCATTTTGGCATTCCAAATCCACAGAAATACAGGTTAGTGTGTAGTAAATTCAATCCCCGAGACATTGCTTCTGCTGCTAGAATGATAGGGTTGGTGACAAAGGGTCACCCTACTTAACTCCCCTCGAAGATTTGAAGAAATCATTTGGCTTCCCATTTATAAGAATAAATTACCAATTATTCCCAATCAAATCAAAGATCAATCCAATAAACGCTTCAGGAAATCCCATCTTCCTAAGCATTTTGGCAAGGAATAGCCATGATAGCCTATCGTAAGCTTTTGTCATGTCGAGCTTAATCACAACATTTGGGCCTGCTTTTGTTCTCAACCTGATATCCGTAATGATTTCTTGAGTTAACAGTACATTCTCAACTATACTTCTTCCCTTCACAAAACCTGTCTGTTCCTGTGAGATTAAGTTTGGTTAAAATTCAACCAACTTTTCATGAATACCCTCGAGAAAATCTTGTTAACAAAGTTGCTGAGACTGATTGGGGTCATGTCTGCAAAGGTCATAACTTCTTTTTTCTTTGGTAATAAAACCAAGTTTGTGTGTGTCACACTCTTTGGCAATTGCTGACCGCAAAAGAAAGCCTTGACCATGCCTACTACATCTTCTTCAATGATTTCCCAGCATGTTTGGTAAAAGGCTCCAGTGAAGTCATCCGGTCCACCTGCTGAGTCCCCATTCAACCCCATAACTGCTCTCTTCACTTCTTCATTGGAAGGCAAAGCCATCAATCTTTCATGTTGATCACTATCTACCATTGAAGGTACATGATTTAGAATATCAAAAGCATTAGGAACTTCACTCTCAGTAAATTGATCCATGTAGAACTTTAATGCTTTTTCTGCTATTAAGTGATCTTCTTCAATCCAGTTATGAAGGCTATTCTGGATCCTTGATAATTTCTGTCTCTTCCTTCTCCCATTAACTTGAGCATGGAAGAATTTAGTGTTTCTATCGCCATCTTTGAACCATAACATACCAGATTTTTGTCTCCAAAATTCTTCCTCTAATGTAAGATATTTAACCATTTCAGCTTGTACCTGTTGTAATCTTTGTTTGTTCAACTGTGTCGGATTGAATTCAAATTTCCTTTCATGAACCAAGACCACCTCCTCCAGGCTTACAATCTTTTGGAATATATCCCCATATGTAGCTCTGCTCCAGGTAGATAGTGCTTTCTTAAGCTTCTTTAACTTGTAGTTAAAAATGCAGAAATGGTTAGCACTAAAATCAGCATTCCAATTCTCCTTTACTACATCCTTGAAGGTTTCATGCTTAGTCCAGAAGTTAAGAAATCTAAATGACTTATTAATTGGAGGAGTTTCTATATCACATTTCAGCATCATTGGGCAATGATCAGACCAAATTTTGGACATGTGAGTTGCCTTCAATCCAGGAAAGGTCTGTTGCAATTCATGATTGCCAAAACATCTGTCCAATCTTTTAAAAATACAGTCTTCATCTAATATTCCATTCCACCATGTAAATATTCTTCCTTTAAATCCCAAATCTGTCAAGTTGCAGGTATTGATGAAGTGCCTAAAGTCATCTACTTCAATAAGAGAAACTGGTAAGCCTCCAAATTTCTCTTCCTCGTCCCAAATCACATTAAAGTTGCCTCCAACTAGCCATGGTACTATCATATCTGATGTCATTGCATACAAAGAATCCCATAGTTCAATTCTTTCAATGTGATCATATTTGGCATAAACTAGTGTAAGGATGAGCTCAACATGTGTTTCAGTGTGCGTTAATCTCAAAGTCAGCTATTGAGTCATGTTATACAGAATAGTAACCTCAAATATTTCATCAATAAAAGCCCAAATCTTGTTTGATAGATTCACCACATCCTGTGCCAAACCAATTCTTGCTCTATCCCTCTCCATTTTGTGAGAATGTTGCATAGGCTCAAGGATTCCTACGAACTCAAAGTGATGTTTTCTGTGCATTGTAATCAGCCTTTCAAATGCTTGCATTGTATTTACTGACCTTACATTCCATATAATTGCATCCATTAAATGTTTTGGGGTTTAGACAGTGCTCTCCTTGTTTGTACTCCACTGGCTGGGACAGTAGAAATCTGTTTTGACTGTTTCTTTTTTCCTTTTATTGCAGATTTTACTATATCAATAAGACTTGGCGATAGATCACCCTGCTTTGCAACATTAAGGAAATTTTGTGTAGTGGATTCCTCATCCATGTCTCTACCTTTAAGTTCTGCGTTGCCAACTTGGTCATCTGCTTCTATTGCTTCTTTTGATGTCACAACATCATATGCCTGATTGGTAAGTTCAGCAACTTTTTCCTCATGTTCATTGGTCAACAGTTGTGTATTGTTTGATGGAACAACATTTCCTGCTAGATCCTTCACTGTGCTCAATGGTACAACACTTCTTGCATATACTTGCACTGTCTTCTCTTGGTTCTTGTCTGAATTTTTCTCTTGGTTCTTGTCTGAATTTTTCTCTTGGTTCTTGTCTGCATTTTCAGCTTCTTTCAAGACATTACTAACATCATTATGTAAAATCCCTCCTGGATCTATAATATTGATGTTCCCCTCTTTTGTCTTTTCTACTGCTGCATTTGTGCATTTACTTATGCTTTGAATATTGATTGCATTGGAATTACAATTAACACTTTGATTCTCATCTTCCACTTCATTTCCTCCAATTTCTTCTTCACTATGCATTGTATCTGGAATCTGCCCATTTGCTAAGACTTCCTATGTTTGGTTGATCCATAATCTCCCTCCTGCCCATTTATCTTTTTCATTGGTCCTGAATTTCTCAAAATCTGTATCTTCAATTAAGTCATTCTCTTTATTGTTTGCTAAATGTTGTTCAACTTTAGTGTCCTGTGAAGGAATGTCTTGACATGAAGTATTGACTTGAACTACATTATTTTTGAATGCTTCTTGCACCCATTGGGCAGTTGAGTAATTTTCAAAATGCTGCTTATTCCCCAAATCTCGTTGTACGCAATCTGCTGTTGATTCCCTATTTGCTGCATGATTTCTTATTACTGTAGGAATGAAAGTAGGTGATGCAGGGTTTAGTTTCTTTGGTTCTGACATAACTAATGGTCTCTTAGATGAACTAGGTGAAGTTCCTTTTGTACCATTTGTCTAGTCAAAAAATCAAATTGCAGCTCTTCCGACTCATTCTCCACAACTGTATGAATATTAATGGGGTCTGCATTATTTTCAGTCACAGGAATTATGGACTTGGAGGCATTTTTTTGCACAGCACTGTTAATGAGCTGATTTGTACAAAGTTCTTCACTATTTTCCACTTCTAAACATGCAAACTTGTTTGGTGTCTGAACTTGCGGTGGAATTCCTTTTTGATTGTTTACAGCCACAATTTCTTGTCCAGTTTTTGCTAAATTTGCTGCCTGCTTCTCTTTTGCTTGTACTCTCCTATCTTTGACCTCCTTCCATTGAGCAACTTGATTGCCAACAACTTTCCCACTTGTAAGAACCATTATTGGAGCATTGTTTGTTTTGTTATCCTTGTTGGGCTGCACTACAGCATCAGTTGAAGCCTTCTTTTCATCATTTCTGTTGGCCATTAGTTCAGGATGAATTTTCCAGCATTCGAACACATCATGGCCCTGAAGCTTACATTCCTTACAATACTTGGGTAGATAGTCATATTTGATAGTCACCTACTCAGTTCTAATATCTCCAGTAGGTTCATTAACAATGTCTAATCGAACCTTCTTAGGCAGGTCTGCTAGCTAGTCCACCAACACTTTCACGCGAGCACAACTAGGTCTAGTTTTCTTGACAGTAGCCAAGTCCAA